AGCTTGATGGCTGCTTGATTACCTTCAAGCCTTTAACTTTGACAGCTTTTCTGATACAGAGTTTAGATAGTGAAGCAGGTGGATGTCTGTGGACATACCATGATGGCCAAGCGCCCATCACACCTGGGAGCTATAAAATAGCCCCCTCCACCACCAGGTTCCAATCCACTAGATCTGAACCCAGGGAAAGCTTGATTCATTGAGGGCCCTCACTAAGTGGGTGCTGTTAGTTAGCCACGAGGCAGGGGCCTCCCACTACAGTGGCCTCAGTGGGCTTCCTTGGCATGTGCCCAAGATGTGCTGGATGGATTGGGTTGGAAGTTCTATAGGGCAGAGAAGCACTTGGCCTACCTCAGGCAGACCTTCTAGAGATGCAGAGAGTGTCTACTGCTCAGAGCTGGGGCCATTCCCCCACGTCCCTGGAGTCAGCTCTCCTCTGGCATGGGCCGGTGGAGGTGTGAGCTTCCAGAGAGGCAGGTGGGTGGAACTCAGTCTGAACAGCCCATGGATATGCAGTGGAGGAAGCAGGGCATGCTGCAAATGGGTCTCCCCACCCAGACCGCTCCTGAGTGTGCTGAACAAACACACAGCGACCTGTGTCCTTGCTGTTTCCCGTGTGTCTCCGCTTGGTGGTGTCTGAGCTCCCACCCGCCAGCCCAGGGCTGTGCCCCACTTAGTCACCTTTGGAGATTATTTCTGCGCACCCGGAAACGCAGTGACTCCTTTTCCTGTTTCCCCCAAGAGGGGCTTGTGTCCAGTGGTGGAGGGAGACCCAGTCACTCGTTCAGAGGAGAACAGCTGCTGGCCGCCCCACCATGAGCTGCAGGTGAATCCAGGTGGCCAGGATACAGGACAGCCAGAAACCCCCCAGTCTGACCAGCATGGATGGACCCCTGTGGGGTCTTCTCCCTATGGGTGGCCCTGGGCAGGGGGCTTTGGGGGCCCACCCTCGACACCCTGGGAGCTTCTGGGAAGTCTGGGCATCTTACCTCCTTTTTGAGGGGATGCCAGGGGTTTGGTTGGGCAGGTGTCTCTGGCTCCAGGTGAGGAAATGAGGTTGTAGAGGCTGCCAGGTAGGGCTCCTCCCCCTGCTATTCCCCATCCACAGGTGCCTGCCCAGGAACTGCTGACTACAGACAAACCTTTGCTTCTTATTGCAAGGCCTGGGATCACTGCAAAGAGTCCCCCCCCACCCCCCACTTTTTGATGCCCCTCCTTTGTTATTTAACACAAGAAATGGAGGTGAGGGTGGAGGGCTTCCACAGACCCAGCAGTCCCACTGCCACCTCCAGCCACTCATGGTCACTCTGCTGTTTCCAGAGAGAATTGAAAAATAAGCACAAGGTGGTTGCTTGACCCTGTCTGAGCCCACAAGTGAATCACCTGCCAAGACTCTGGATGTCATGGTCGGAGGGCAGACTTGGGGCTTCACAGAGCTGGCTGGGGTCCCAGCACCACCACTGACCAGATGTGTGATTTTAGGTGAATGTCTCCATCTGCCTGGGACTCCCCTTATCACTCATGAAGAGGGAATCATGAACCTGGCTTCAAGCCCAGGAGGTGATGGGGACTGAGGGCCATGCAGTGCTAGGCTTGGGCCAGACGTGCTTGGGACCAGGCTGCTTGGCCTCTGTCGGTCCCCAACCTGCAGGAGCCTCAGTTTACTCCTCAGAGCCCAGTGACACTCTGCACTTGCCACTCCCAATACGGTTAGTCTGTGAACACGTAATTTAAAATATATGCCCTCCAAAAACAGGAATTACGCTGGGCAGAGCAGAGCTTTCTTAGTACACGGTTTTCCCGCTAGGCAATCATCGGGGCACTTGCTCTGCGTTAGTTCAGTCGTGTTAAGTTAGTGCACCCAGTGGTGTCACCTGGGAAGGTTCTTTCTGGTCAGTTTCATTCAAACCTCATTTTTTTATAATGACTGATTTAAGAGAATAGTATGCAGCTGTGAAATCTTTTGTTTCCTATTCTGGAAAAATGCCACAGAAACTGTTGTGATGTTGAACACAGCTTACCAGGACAGCGCTATGGGAAAAACTCAAGTGTACAAGTGGTTTTCTCATTTCAAAATAGGTGAAATGGAAAAAAAAAAAAAGGTGAAATGTCAATTGATGCCAAACTTGTTCTGACGTCTGTCAATTTCCTGAACGGATGAAATTGTTGACTCTAGTGCATTTGGAATTCTTTCCACCAGGTCAGACTGTTAAGCAAGCTTTCTATTTAGAGGTTCTGAAACAACTGTGAAACATTGTGGGACAAAAAAGACCTGATTTGTGGCAGATGGAGGACTGGGGGTTTTTTTTGTTTTTTTTTAACACTTTATTAGGGGCTCATACAACTGTTATCCCAATCCATACACACATCAATTGTGTAAAGCGCATTTGTACATCGTTTCTCAAAACATTTTCGGAGAACTGGTTTTGCCACCATGACAATGCACCTGCTCACACAGCCATCTCAGTGCACCAATTTTTTGCAAATAAACAGCATACTTCTCTTGCCCCACACACCTGACTCACCCGACCTCACTCCATGTGACTTCTTTTTGTTTCCACAAATTAAGAGGAACTGGAAAGGACAGTGATTTGATGATGTAGAAGTGGTAAAGAAAAAAACGAGGGAGGTGCTGTCAGCCATCCAAACAGATGAGTTTGAAAATGTTTCCAAGAATGGAATCACAGATTTGACAAATGTATTAAGTGTAATGGAGAGTACTTTGAAGGTGATAAGATTGTGTTGTAAAAAAGCTTAAATACATAGCTTTGAGGGGGATATGAATGCCATGGGGGGGGGGGGCAACCTTCGCCAAGGTCTCTGGGGATGCCAGGTGGCCTGTCCGTCTCTCCTCCAGCAGTGCCATGGGTGTATCCAGCTGCTCCCCTGCACCTCCTTGACTCACCTCCAAGGACTTTCTGGGAAGGCCTCTCCAAGCCACATGGCTGCCCCAGGCCACTGCCGGTGTGATGGGCTCTGTGGTCCTGGCTGCCCGCCGTGCCCTGTGCCTGTGTCTGAGTGCCCGCTGCCCGCTGTGGCCTATGGGTGCGACCAGCCACCCGCGGGATCGCTGTCAATCTGGTGGAGACTTTGGGGGTGCTGCTGCATCACCCAAGGGGGCAGCAGGTGGGCGCCCCGGTCTGTCTGGGCTCAGGAGGCCGCACACACACCCTCACTGTGTCCTTCCTCTCGCTCTTGCAGAACCCGCAACGATCATGGTGCCACCAGCCAGCTCGGAGGCCCAGGTATGCTTATGGTCATCTGCAAGGTGACCCGCTTGCCCATCGGACACTACACACATCACACAGTGTGACCACAATGTGAATGTTGTCGGTGTTCGTGAGGGGCACAGGGGGATCCGGGCTGAGCACAGGGTGAGGTCAGCCAGGGGAACGGCCCCCATGCTGGCCGGGGACACCAGCACACAGTGGCATGTTTACTGTTTTGAAAGAAAACGTAGGCATCATTAGTCCACTGGGCAAGGAAATGTGGGCATCATTAGTCCACTGAACAGCATTCACTAATTCAGCACTTATTCCCTCGCCCTCTCCTGTGTTGAGCTGCGAGCGGGACTTGGCTGTGGCCAGTGGGACAGCCCTGGCCCTCAAGGAGTTTGGGGACAAGTGAGATCCTGTCCATTTCTTACTCTGACAGTAGCCCTGCGCAGCCGCACCTCCTCTCTGAGTCCACAGGCCACGTCACTCCAGTCTTTTCCATTCTGGTGAACCTGGACCTCGCCTGTGAGGCTGCTCGGACCCATGTGCACTCTCCAGACAGTGGCATTGTGTGTCCCCCACACACCTGGAGGCTTTTTCTTTTCTTTAGATATCATTTAAAGAGCTTTTCTTTCTCCTGGTGGTGCAGTGGTTACAAGGTAGACTGCTGACCACAAAGTCAGCGGTTCGAAAGCACCAGACAGCTCTACGAGAGAAAGACCAGTCTTTCTGCTCCCGTACAGAGTTAGTCTCTGAAACTCATAGGGGAAGTTCTACCCTGTCCCATAGGGTCGCTGCTGTTGGTCGGCCTTTTGTGTGCTCCGCATGGACTGCGTAGACTATCACTTGGTAAGGTCTGGGAAGGAGGCAGTCACAGGCGAGCCGTAAGAGCGTAAGCTACCTCCTCCTTGGGGCTCTTATGCAGGGGAAACTTAAGGCAGAGGAGGAGCCCGGAGCAGTGATTGAGAAAGATTCACCCTGAGGGGTGCAGCCTGCCTTCTGTGGCCAACCGTCCACCTGAAATATGCACATGAGGACCATGGCCAGGAAACACTGCAGTGGGCTCTATTCAGACAAATTCCTGCCTAACTATTGCCCATTAGAAACCAGGTCATGTGACTGGCTAGACTAACATGTCCTTCACCCTCTCAATAAGAGCCGCTCCTGTGGACGTGCATCTTGCTGCGTACGCTGCCCGGGCCAGCGCAAGAATGAGGCTGGCCGTGAGACTGGGCTGGGGGATCTGATTTCTGAACAATGGGTTGTTGGTGTGGTGAAAATATGCATGAATAGAATCCAGAGAAACCCACCACACCAAGTGCCATAGCCCAGTGTCATTGCTGTTAGTCGCCATGGGTTGTGGGGGCCTGGACACAGCAGCCTGGGACACTGCCTGGCCCGAGCTCTTCCCAGCATGCAGAAACCCAGAGAGAGGAGTCTATTGTTGAGAGCCAGCAATGCCCTCCCATCAGCTCCTCAGCTGCCACCTGACCCACACACCAGCCCCTACATTCCAGAGTCACAGCGGGCTGCCTGGGGGCCGTGGGGACCCCCGGGTCTCACTGCATCATTTTGGGAGGCAGACTGTCTTGCCCTAAAGGCTTCCTGTTAGCGCAGTTCTTACACATCATAAAGAGCCACAGGTCCCTCGGCCCGAGTCCTCCAGTCTAGTCGGGCCTGCATCTCAGGGCCCTTGAATTAACCTGATACCCTGGCCTGGGAAGCACAGCCCAACCCCTTATCAGTTAATCGAGCTACCACTCGCTGGATTTTATGAAAGGCAGGCGCTTCATGGCCAGACTCTTCCTGAGCCCCTCTGGGATGGGAGCAGCCCCCTGGCTGGCAGGAACGGAGGCTTCTCGGGTTCCCACACCTGTAGGCCCCCAGCCCAGAGATCCCAGCTGGCCCCACAGTGGGCAAGGTGGGGCTGGCAGGTGCTCTCTCTGGCCTGCTGCCCAGATTTTTCCCTGGGGAGGCAGTGTGTACTCTCTCTGCCTTCCAGGGAAGGTTCCAGGGCACTGCAGCCACAGATAGAGGCTAGGATTGGTTTAACCGCCTGGTCGCTACAGGACAGGCTCAGGTCAGCAGCACAGGGGACAGGGAGAGGCTGGCAGGTCCGTAGAGGCCCTTCCTATTCCACTCTCATTCTCCACTCTTGTGGCGTAGCCTGGCCTCTGAGGGAGTGATGGGGCCAGATAGGTAACGTACCCCTGCCCCCAACCCGGGCCAAGAATTCTGGGAACCCTGTGTTGTGGCTCTTGTCAACCCGACTCACAAAATGGACCCCCTCTTGATAGGCGCGGGACCCTAGGGGTGTTCACCAGGGGCCCACTGCCCAGTCATCCCGCCTGGCTCTGCTCCTTTTGGGGGGATTGCTCACCAGGCCACCTGCCTGACTCTTGCTCTCTGGGTGTGACTCTGACCCGGGTGGTAGCCAGTGACTTTGCTGAGATAAGCAAGCTCCAGGAAGACCGGCTGGGACGTTGCCCTGGTCCCCAGGAGGCAGGATGGAGACCCGTCTCCTCCAGCCGGTCAGCTCATATCCCTGCCCGACTCTGCTCCATCTGCCTGGAGGCTCTGTGTCCTCTGCCCTATGGGGACACACTCCTGTCCCCGAGGACCTCCGCAGGGTGTGAGAGCAGACCTGTGGCGGCTGCACCCAGAAAGCAGCAAAGTACAGCAGGGGTTCTGGTCTCCCGCAGAGCTGGTGGGTGGGAGTCTGGGCCACGCTGGCTTGGTTGTCTGGCAGGGCAGTGTCCTGCTGCCAGGACATGCCCTGTATGTGTCCGTTCCCAGGGAAGTACACGGCGGCCATGCTTTCTGAGCACTGGAGGCCAGTCTTATGTGGATTCCCTATGCTGGATGTCAGGAGTTGGGTGGCTAAGTCAGTCAATGAGCTGTTTGCTGGGTCTTGGGCTGTCCCCATTTCACTGTGGCCAGCTACGCTGTGGGCTCTCTGGTGGTCTCCGATCCCAGCCCACCACTCAGGACCGGGTCTCCAGGTCCTTCTACTATGCCTCCCCGGCCCACCTGACAGCCCGCCCCGCCCTGTGGGTGCCCAGCTTGCCCGCTAACCCCTGCCTGCCCTGCAGATGGTGCAGTCTCTGGGCTTTGCCATCTACCGCGCGCTGGACTGGGGCCTGGCCGAGAGCGAGGAGCGTGAGCTCAGCCCCCAGCTGGAACGGCTCATCGACCTCATGGCCAACAGCGACGGCGACGATGGCAGCTGCGGGGCAGACGAAGGCTACGGTGGCCCGGAGGAGGAGGAGGAGGCCGAGGGCGGCCCACGCGCTGTGCGTACCTTCGCCCAGGCCATGCGGCTGTGCGCGGCGCGCCTGACCGAGCCCCGCGGCGCCCAGGCGCACTACCAGGCCGTGTGCCGCGCGCTCTTCCTGGAGACGCTGGAGCTGCGCGCCTTTCTCGCCCGCGTGCGTGAAGCCAAGGAGGTGAGCGGCGCCTAGGGCCCCTCGGTGTGCTGCCGTAGTACCGGCACCCTCCCTGCCCTTCTACCCCTTCCCCCTTCCTGGTCTGCCTGACCCTTCTGCCCCGCGTCCCTTCCCTGTCCGTGCCTTATGCTGGACGCCCAAGCATTTCCACATCTCCATGCCCTCTAAACAGCTCTCCCTTCCGCCCCTCCCGGCTCCCCGTGCCCCCTTGGAAGCCCCGAGAACCTGCCCTCTTTGTCCAGCTTTGGTGGCAGTATTTTTGAAATTACCTGGGGCTGGTGCCCAGTTCTGACTTCACCCTTTAAGAGGTCCGGGAGCACCCAGACAGGGCCCTTGGCCAGCACATGGGGCCTGGGAAGCAGCGTGGAAAGTGGTCAGAGACGTTCATGTGGACTGCTTCACAAGGCAGTCTGTGTGCACCTCCAGTAGGCTGGCCCCTGCCTCTCCTGCCCTCCCCAGGTAAGGGCAAACCTGTCTCTCCTCTGGACAGTCTGTCCCTTTGCCAAGATCAGTTCCTCACCCCGATGGCAGCCCTTGCTTTAGCAAGAGCAAGGGACCCCACCTCACCCCCACAGTATGTGGCCCTTGGAGGAATTTGTGGGTCAGCTGGCACTGTGGATGCAAACTACAAGTGGATGGGAACACCAGGCCGCACTCTCCACCTGACAGATTGCCGGGCCACACCTGAGGACTATTATTAGAATCCACACACTTGGCTGCTTAAGTCATTGGCAGCGGTGTGTAGAATGTCCCAAGGCACGTTGGCAGGTGTCTAGGGGCAAGAGCCAGGGTAACCGGTTCTGTCTTGGTTGGGAGTTGGGTATGCTTTGTGCTAGAGGGGAGCAGTTTCTCCAGGGGTGAGGTAGTTTGTGAGAACAGTGGCCCCCAGTACCACAAGAACTCTGGCCAACCAAAGCAGTGAATGCAGCAGCTTGTACCCAGGTTCTTAGCACAGGACAGTCACCTCACAATCCCTCACACCCTCCTTGAGCCTTTACTCCGTGCTGCCATTTTTCCCGGTTCCCCAACTACAGAACAGCAACTAGTGTTCAGGATTGGAACCCGCTCATTGACTCACCTTCATCTACCCATTCATCCATCCATCCATCCTTCAGTCTTCCCACTCATCCACATCTACCCATCCATCCATCCACCCATCCATCCTTCCTTCCATCCATCCTTCTGTCCCCACATCCATCATTCCATCATTCCTTCAATACATCCACTCAACTCCATCTACCCATGCACCCATCCATCCTTCTTCCATCTACAATCTGCACCCTCACCCTCATATACTCATGCATGGATCCATCCATTCTTCTTTGTACCCACCCATCCATCTGCCCATCCATCCATCCATTCCTTTCTTTATTCATTTGTTCCACCTAGTATACTGATCCCTGGTGGTGTAGTGGTTACCCATTGGGTTGCATTCCACATGGTTGGCAGCTTGAAACCAGCAGCAGCTCCACTGGAGAAAGACTGGGCTTCCTACTTCTTCCTGTAAGCAGCTACAATCTCAGAAACCCACAGGGGGTTGCTATGATCATCATTGACTAGGTGGTTTGGTTTCCACCTAGTATGTACCACACCATTCTAGCTGCCAAGAATAGGCGGGGGAGGAGAGGGGGAAAGCAGTAGCTGTGGTCCTCAGCCTCACAGAGCCCATTACCTAGTGGTGGTGGTGGGGAAGCAGCTGTTACAGAGAAGCAGGTCAGTGTGTAGCCCAGCTGGGCTCTGGGTGAGAAGGCTCTTCCCACACCAGCCATTGGCCTGTGTCTGTGCCTGATGTCGGCCAGATGTGCACTCGGTAGAGTGTGAACATCAGTGAGTAAAGACATCCTCTGCAGACTGGGAAAGCCGTGAGTGCTGCCCGAACAGAGAAGGCCATGGACCAGGGCTAGCTGGTTGAGCAGTAGCCAGTGTGATAAGGACCCCCAGCTCATGTCCCTGCCTTCTCCCGACTCACACAACCCTGTGGTCACAGATGCTGCAGAAGTTCCGGGAGGACGAGCCACAGACAGAGAAGCTGACGGAACTTGACGACCTGGGGCGCACAGACTGGGTAAGCTGGGCGGTGGACACTGGCCTCCCAAGCCCTGGGCTTGCAGAGGGGTCAGAGCCCTGGCCAGATCTGAAGGTCAGTGCCCTCCGTGCACAGGCCAGACTCTGGGTCCAGCTCATGCGGGAGCTGCGCCACGGAGTGAAACTTAAGAAGGTACAGGAGCAGGAGTTCAACCCGCTGCCCACGGAGTTCCAGCTCACGCCCTTCGAGATGCTCATGCAGGACATCCGTGCCCGCAACTACAAGCTGCGCAAGGTCATGGTGCGTGCAGGAGTGGGGCAGAGCTCCTATTCCTTCCCTTCCTCCTCCACCTACTCACCCCCACCCTTGCCAACCAGCAGCGGCTCTGGAGAGCCAGGCCCCTTGCTGGAGATGAGCTGGACCTGGGTTGCAGACATGGCCCCTGCCTCCAGCTCAGCAGGGGACACCAGGCAGTGTGACAGGGGCAGGAGACACACAAGTTCTGGAGGGCAGAATGTGCAGTAAGGTGCAGAGTTTCTGAGCCAATTTGATCCGATTCACCCATGGCCAACAACAACAGAGCTGGATGTTTAAAATATGGGTGATCCGGATTGGTAACTGCATCAAAACCCTGGAGTGGGAGAGTCGAGAGAGGCGAGCTGAGCCCTGCAGGTGCCTAGGTGCAGGAGGATGGATCATCGGCAGGGCTGGGGGTGGAGAGCAACCTACCTTCAAAGCAATTGGCTGCCCTCTTTGAACTGGACACTGTTGTCTCCTACTCTGCCGGTGAAGAGACTTGGTTGCTTTGCAAGGTGCATGCCGCTTGCGTTTTCTTAGAGGGAGATTAAGTTGCTGGCAGGATGTTAACCTGCAGCTCTCACCACACCCTGTGCGTGGACGCTATCAACCCCTGTCCAGATGAAGGCACTGGGGCAAGAGGGGCAGGCAGCCTGGCCAGGGCCTTTGTCCTTAGCCGCAGCTGCCTCCCGGCATTCCCACAGGTTGATGGGGACATCCCTCCCAGGGTGAAGAAGGATGCCCATGAGATCATCCTGGACTTCATCCGTTCAAGGCCACCACTGAAGCAGGTACTGGCCAACATCCCTCCCTCACTTCCTGCTCCTCCACAGTCCCCAGGAGGCACCCAGTGTCCTCTGGGGCTCGAAGACTCTCGTGCACAGGCACGGGGCACTACACACCAGCCACAGCCTGGGACTTCCCCAGGGGGGGACCCGGCTTCACTGTGCTGGCTGCTCCCCACCCACTACCCCATGTGGAACTCCTCCCACCCAGTCCAGCTGTGCCCACACCTGCTGGGTCCCCAGGGGTCCTGACCCCGGCCAGCTCCTCCTGGCACCGCCCCCCCCAAGACCCTCTTGGCCCCCTGCCACGTGTTGCCACTGTTCCTGCAGGTCTCAGAGAGGAGGCTGCGCCCATTGCCACAGAAGCAGAGGACCCTGCACGAGAAGATCCTGGAGGAGATCAAGCAGGAGCGGAAGCTGCGGCCGGTGGGAAGCTCGCGCTGGGACAGCCGAGGTGAGGGCCCAGCTCACGGCCACCCCACCCTCCCCAACCCCCAACCTAGCTCTGCACACTCATTGCTACTCATCCTCCCTCCAGCCTCCCAACCCCCCACCCAACCCTGTAAGATCGCCACTGCTCCCCGCAGCCTTGCAAGTTCACTGACCCTCTCCTCACCCCTACATGGTCTTCATATTCACCACCCCCCAAGCCACCTTTCCACTCTCACAGCCCCCCCTCTATCATTTTCTCCATGCTCCCTCCCTCCCTCCCTCCCCCCAGGGTTCGGCTCTCTGCCCTGCATCCTCAGTGCCTGCTCTGGGGAGATCAAGTCCACTTCCTGCATCAACCTGGCCATCCCTGGTGGCGGGAGCAGCACCCAGCGTCCGAGACCCCGGGTCCTGCTGAAGGCACCCACCTTGGCAGAGATGGAGGAGATGACCACGTCAGAGGTCAGAGCTTGCTGAGAAGAGTGGGGAAGCGGGCATACAAGGGCCCTGCTGCCCCCCACACCAGTGGGAAAGGGCTGATGGAGCAGTGGGACAGGGAGTGGTCCCTGGGCCCTGGTCAGCGTTGAGGAGCTACTCGCCCCACAGGCTGCCAGGGGTTCCCTGTTCCCTGGGCCACCTGTCCATCTGAGAGCAGCCCTTTGCGAAGCCCCTGTGGGTGGATCCAGGGAAGGCGCCTATGTGTGGGCGCTGGGCTGGATGTCAGAACTGTTTCTGCAGGAGGAGGAGTCCCCATGTGGTGAGCCTGAGACAACCTTGAAGCGTGACCGCTCCTTCTCAGAGCATGACCTGGCCCAGTTCCGCAGTGAGATGACCCCGGGCCTGCCCGCCGCTGAGCCCTCTGCAGCAGCAAAGCCACTGGCCCGGCCCAGAGCAGGCAGCATGCACACTTGGAGACCCAGCACCCAGGACCGGGGCAAGTGCTGAGCACCCTCAGCCCACCCTCCCGCACAGCTCAGGCAGCCGCCCCTCTCTCTCTTGGTGTACTTGACATGTTCCTATCAACAAGTAATCCCTGCTTGCGCTAAGACCTCCTGGAAACAACGCTTGACAGATCCCTGCCTTAGCTAGAGGTAATTACTCTGAATATGCTGGAAGACAGATCTAGACAGGCAGCCAGCCAGCCTGTCCCGACGCAGGGGCCCCCACACACCGAGGGTGGCAGTGCTCCACAGGGTCCCACAGGCTGCATTTCTCCATTCTATGTTGCCAGGTCTTTCTTCGGAGGTACTCCTGGGGAGACTTGTTAGCAGCCGAGCACAATAACTGCAGCTCAGGGGCTCCTCAGACAGATGGAGAGAGAGATGCGGGACATAGAGAGAAATTTCTGCCAGGGAATCAGTTCCGACTCTTAGTGACCCTGCAGGACAGGGTACCACTGCCCCCGGGTTTCCAGAGAGCAGAAAGCTTCATCTTTCTCCTGTGGAGCGGCTGGTGGATTCAAGCTGCTGACCTATGGTTAGCAGCCCAATGCACATTGCCCCCGGGCTCCCAGTAAGTTAGCAGGTGCATACAGGCAGGCTCCTGCAGTGTCTCCACTCTGATGGCCTCCTGCTCTTTTTCAGGTCGCCTCCCTGAGAGCGTCCACACCCCACCTGACCCCGGTCCAGCCCCTCCCAGCCGCCTGAGCGCAGTGGAGGAGAGGCAGGAGGCCACTTCCAACCTGGACAGCCAGACCAAGCACCGGTGGTTGGTGAGCGAGGCACATATCTTAAGTGCCTGCCTGGTTCTCTCTGTCCACCTGGGGACTCAGGGCAGGGGTGGGGGTCCCGGAGTGGCCCTGGCTTCCATCTAGTGCAGGTGGGCCGCCATCGTGGGAAGGTTGGTCTCCACTGCCTCCTGCTGGAGAGTTCTGGTACTGAAGTCTGAGCCCACTGCAGGACTGCTGGTGTCTCAGTAAATTGTGTAGGGGCTATGACAGTGACAGACGCCAGGCCTGTGTCTCTGTGAAGGTTGCAAGACCTCGGCCCCTGGTCCCACTACCACTGGCACTTACTTCTCAGCACCTGCTCCCTCAGTTGGGAACTCTTGGTTCAGTGATTTTGAGGGTCTGATACTTGGATGATTTGAAAACACCCCCCACCCCGCCCCAGCCTCGTTGCATGCTGTTCTTAAATGGGATGTAGTTGTTGTTAGGTGTCTTTGGTTAGTTCCGACCCTGTGCCCAACAGACAGACGCAGAGCCACCTTATCCCGAGCCATCCTCTCCGCTGCCCTGTCGGAGCCCATTGTCGCAGCCAGTGCCCATCCATCTGTCAAGTCCCCCCCCACCCCCGCCCCCCCCCTGCTGCCCAGCTACTGTACCAAACATGGTGTCCTTCAGGGACTGGTCTCTCCTGACTACGTGTCCAAAGTATGAGAGACAAATTCTTGCCATCCTTGCCTCTAAGGAGCCTTCTGGCCATACTTTTTCCATGGTACTTTCAGTATTCTTCGCCGGCACTATAGTTCAAGCTCATTGATTCTTTGGTCTTCCCTAGTCAACCTCCGACTTCCATATGCATATGAGGCAACTGAAAATACCACGATTGGGGTCAGGCATACCTTAGTCCTCAAAATCTCATCCTTGCTCTTCAACACTTTCAAGAGATCTTATGCGGCAGGTTTACCTAATTAAATGCTTCTTTATATCTCGTGGCTGCTGCTTCCATGATCCTGGATTGTGAATCCAAGCAAGACAAAACCTTGACGACTCCCACTTTTTCCCTGTTTATCATAATGTTGCCTACTGGTCCAGTTGTGAGGATTCAGGTCTTCTTTATATTGCGTTCTAATCCGTACTGAAGGCTCTGATCCTTGATCTTCGCAGCAAGTGCTTCAAGTCCTCCTCACTTTCGGCAAGCAAGGTGTGTCATCTGCATATCACAGGTTAACAAGCCTTCCTCCAACCCTGATGCCACACTCTTCATATAATCTGCTTTTGTGATGATTTGCTCAGCACACAGCTTGAACAAGTATGGTGAGAGGATACAACCCTGACACACACCTTTCCCGATTTTAAACCATGCACTATTTCCTTGTTCTGTCCCCACAACTGCCTTTTGATTTTTGTACAGGTTCTGCATGAATGTAATATTTTGGGATTCTTACCCTTCTCAAGGCTATCCACAGTTTTTTATGATCCACATGGTCGAATGTCTTGGCATAGTTAATAAAGCACAGTAAACATCTTCCTGTTTTCAACTGAGATCCACCTGACATCTCTAATGATCACCTTTGTTCACAACCTCTTCCAAATTGCTGTAACCGTTGTTGGATGATCTTCAGAAAAATTTTACTATGATATTGTTCTGCAATTTGAGCATTCTCTTGGGTCACCTTTCTTTGGCATGGGTACAAATATGGACCTCTTCCAGCAAGTTGGCCAAATAAGCTATCTTCCCAGTTTCCTGGTGTAGGTGAGAGAGAACTCCCAGTGCTTCATCAGCTTGTTGGAACTTTTCAGTTGGTCTTCCTTCAGTTCCCGGAGCCTTGCTTTTGGCTGATGCTTCCAGTGCAGATTGAGCGTCTTCCTTCAGTATCATTGATTCTCGCTCATGTGCTGCCTCATGAAATGGTTGAATGTCGATTAGTTCTTTTTAGTACAGTGACTCTGTATTCTTCTTTGAATGTTTCCTGCATTATTCAGTATTTTACCCATAGAATCTTTCAATATTACAATTTGAGGCTTCTTTTCTTGAGTTTATGCTGAGTCTGTTCTTATTTGGTTTCCTACCTCCAAGTCTTTGCACATTTTGTTATATTTTACTCAGTCTTCTTTTTTTTTTTTAAAGCTTTCTAAGCTATTTCTTTTTTTTTTTTTAATCATTTTATTGGGGGCTCATACAACTCTTATCACAATCCGTCCATTGTATCAAGCACATTTGTACATTTATTGCCATCATCATTCTCAAAACATTTTCTTTCTACTTGAGCCCTTGATATCAGCTCAACCCCTCCCTCATGAACCCTTGATAATTTATAAATTATTATTTTGTCACATCTTACACTGTCTGACATCTCCCTTCACCCACTTTTCTGTTGTCTGTCCCCTTGGGAAGGGGTTATATGTCGATCATTGTGATCGGATCCCCTTTTCTCCCCCTACCTTCCCCTTCCCCTCTGTTTCTTGGAATTTTAATGACCTTTGTTTTCTTCATGAATGATGTGCTGGGTCTCATGTGACAGCTCATCAGGGCTTCTGTCTTTGGTGAGCAGTGCATCAAATCTGTTCTTGAGATGTTCTCAAAATTCAGGTGTGATATAATCAAGGTGGTGTGTTGGCTCATGTAGACTTTTCATTTTCTTCAGCTTTACCCTGAATTTACATATGTGCAATTGATCTGGCTTTAGCCACTAATGTTGCGCTTCTCCATCATCTCTTCCCATGAAGGTAGTCAGTTTGATTCCTGTGTATTCCATCTGGAAAAGTCCACATGTATTCCTGAAGAAAGTTGTTTGCAATGAAGAAGTCATTAGCCTTACTGAATTCCATCATGAGCGCTCCCTCTGGCTTGGTTTTCACCACCAAAGTCTTCTTTTAGAACCACTGTTCCTTCTTCTTTGTTTCCAGCTTTTGCCTTCCAATCACCTATAATTATCAATGAACTTTAATTGGATGTTTAATCAATTTCCAATGGAAGACATAGGTGAAATTCTTCAACTTCCTCATCACTAGCTTTGGTTGGTAGTCATAAATGTGAACAGTCATCCTCTTGATGTGGATAGATATCATTCGATCACACAGTATGACCCCCAGCCTTTCCTCCATCCATGTCATGAGGGCAGGCGCTGCTTTGAGAAGGCATCTCTTGCTCAGCCATATTTTGAGGGGCTTTACCCTGAGGGGCTCATCTTCTGGCATTGTCTCTGACAATGTTCTGCTGCTTTTCATGAGGTTTTCCACATCTGACAGGTTTCCGTGACTAATTCTTCATCAGTGGACAGCCTATTCTTCTTCATGGCCTGTTCTTAGTCTGGAAGCTTGCTGAAAATGATTCACTGTGGTTGGCACTGCTGGCATTTGAAATACTGGCTACATAGCTTCCAGCATTACAGCGACATACAAGCCACCACCACAGGACAGACTGACAGCTCAAGTGGCGGACAGTGGGGAAGGAGGTCCTGGGCAAAGCTCCAGGCAGTAGGGTGGGATGACCAGCTTCCCAGGTCTTACCCAGAGGCTCTCATGAAGCAGGTCTGCGGGAGCTCTGTGAGTTGTGAGTGGAGGGTGTGTTGAGCCCCTTCCTTTGAGCTTTGCTTTATCTGTGGCTGCAGAATGGATCACTCTAACCCAGCAGCTTCCAACAACACCCCTCACACAGTTTTGCAAGTCCTGGAGGCTCAACCAGGGGTGTCACTTCTGAGTGGTCCCCTTCTTGATTAGGACCAGCATCGTCCTTTGAAAACCAAACTCCCTGCTGTCCAGTCCATGCCAGCTCCGTGACCCTATGGGATGGGTCAGAACAGCCCCCGTGGGTTTCTGAGACTGTCACTCTTTACAGGAATAGGAGGCCTCGTCTTTCTCTTGCAGAGACCAAAGATGCCCCATATACCCATCTTCTCCAAATTGCTGGACCCCTCTCTCACCTTCAACACCAGCTCCTTCACTGGAAGGTGGACAGGGTGTCTATAGCTTGCCAAATTAGGACCCAGATCCCCAAAGCAGCAGTCATCCTGGGCTTCTAGCCTGGCCATGCTGAGTGGGTGTTTTAGGAAGTTGCTGGGCACAGCCTGCCCCCCACCCCAGGGTGGGGGGCTTGTGGAGGCCATGAAGGGAGGGTCCTCAGTGAAGAGAGGCATTTGGGCTAAGCCTGCTCGCTGAGGTCCTGAGAGGGCACCTGGCTCCTGCCCCAGGAGTTCAGTCACCCGGTGGAGAGCCTGGCACTGACGGTGGAGGAGGTGATGGCCGTGCGCCGGGTGCTGGTGAAGGCAGAGATGGAGAAGTTCCTGCAGAACCGGGAGCTCTACAACAACCTGAAGAAGGGGAAGGTGAGGGTGGCATGAGTGGGGCATGCAGGCTGCCCTCATTGGACAGGGCCACAGAGGAGTGGCGGGTGGGGCATGCAGGAGCACACCCTTCTTTCTGGGGGTTGGCAAGAAAGGAGAGCCCCATGAGCTTGGGACCAACCCAGTTCTACCAGGCTGTACCCCACAGATCTGCTGCTGCTGCCGAGCTAAGTTCCCGCTGTTCTCCTGGCCCGCCACCTGTGTCTTCTGTAAGAGGTGAATCTTGGTGGGGTCCCTTGATCGTGGGTTAGCCTCCCAGGGGAACAGGTGTCCAGGGAGAACTTGCTGTGAGGGTGGGGCACTGGCTGTGCACCTGAAGAACAGAGTATTGTATTCAGCTGTGAAGCCCCGGAGGCCTGACAGACAAGGGCGGGTGTGGGTTTCCAGATCAGGAACTGCATAGCCAGCCAGCCACCAAGATGTAGGAGTGCTCGAGCAGGAGAGCGAGCCTACAGGGCTCATGGAAGCAGAGGTAACCTCATGCTAGTGACGTGGAGCCAGCCAGGTCTGGGTGTGCGCCGCCAGGACTCGGAGGCCAGGAGGCTCCTCTTCCAAAAGCTGATAATGCTTCCTCAACTCTTTCCCTTCAGAGCCGTGTGTTCTTCCTGTAGCATAAAGGTGAGCTGTGGCGGCTTCCAGGGGCAGCATGGGTGGGGGGATGGGGCAGGTGAATTGGGGCTCTGCCAGCTCCCATCGGACAATCCCACCCTCCCCAGTCACTTCACCCATCTTCACTATCCAGAAAGAATCTAATCTTAAACTTCCCAAGAATGCAGCTTTTAAACATTTCATGCCAGTAGGCTGGTGCCCAAAGGAGCCCTGGGGTTGCAGTGGATTATATGCTGGGCTGCTAACCTCAAGGTTAGCAATTCAAATGCACCTGCCTGCTCCCATGAAGATTTCATGTCTCAGAAACCCACCGGGGCAGTTCTTCTCCATCCTCCACGGTCCCTGTGACACGGAATCGACTTGATGGCAGTGGGCTTTCAGACTGGTGCCCCTCTAAAAGCCCTGCCCTCTGGCCCTGTGCACCCCTCAGAGTTCCTGGGGAGAGGCTGCCTGCACAGCAGGCATGGCCACCCAGAAGCAGGTGTGCAGAGTGGACAATGACTAGTAACATTAGCAATGCACTACCATGTTGCACCCCAGCTCAGAAACAAGAGACTGCTAAAAGGGGGCTTGTTTCCCACCCACTTATCTAGCCTGTGTTCCCATTATGTGACATGGCACTGAAAACCTTTCACCTCATCAGCCTCAAACACCCATTGAGTGCACAGTGTGAAGGGCCTAGGGGCATTGAGCACAGGGCTTGACCCTAGTTCCTGTGCAGCTAGAGAAGGCACTGTTTCTGCCCTTAGGAAGCATCGTCCAAGAACCAAAGGTCTGTGCTGGCTGCAGAGGTGTGTGTGTGTGTGTGTGTTTGAGCCAGCTTTCTCAGCTTGCTTATCCCTGCTGCCCCACGCACTCCTGTCTCTCCCTGCTGGTGGGGTCTCACTCAGCCTTCCGGATGTTGCAGATGAAGATGCCGTCGAAGAAGTTTGCACACATCCCCGTGTACACACTGGGCTTTGAGAGTCCACAGAGGGCGGCTGGAGGCAGGACCATGCCTGCACAGAGAAAAGACATCTTCCAGTGAGTCTCTGCTCCCTTGTGGGTGATATCACTGCTGTGATCAAGCCCATGGGAATGTGGGATCTGGTAGAGGGGGATGCTCCATCTGTCTGCTGGGCCACCCAAGGCCATGGGAAGCCAAAATAGTTTAGGGACAGAGATCCTTGCAGAGGGGCTCGGAGGTGTTGAGCAGTTGGGGTGGACACTGCCCGAGGTAGGTGGTCAGGGCCTGGCTCACCAGCTGCTCTGGGCTCATCTAGTCATTGCGACATATGAGGCTGCTGTGTGTGTGGTGGGGGTTGGTGGTGGGGTGGGGGCCTCGTACTGAATGCACCCTCTTTCCCCAGGTCCCTGCAGGGGTCCCAGTGGCGGGGTGTTGAGGAGGAGTTCCCTCACATCTATGCCCATGGCTGCATCCTGAAGGGCGTCTGCAGCGACTGCACCAGCTTCGTGGCCGACGTGGTCCGCTCTAGTCGCAAGAGTGTGGACATTCTCAACACTACACCACACCGTGCCCGCCAGACCCAGTCCCTGTACATCCCCTCCACTCAGACTCTGGATTTCCAGTGACCTCCCTTGGGGCACAGCGGCCCCGCCTACTGGCTGTGCATGTACATATTTACAGACATAGACACATTTATTTAATATATACACGGCCTCTATATTTATATTCATGGCTCCTGGCCCCTCAGGACCCTCCCTGGGGAGACCATTTCCTCTCAGGATCAGGAATAGGATGGAGGGTTCTCGGTAGAGCAGGGTCAGGGGTAAGACCCACCCCCCCACCCCACCCCTCACTCAGCTCTCACTGCTTCCCCATCCTCCCGCGATGCCCTCCTGGAGTTCTCCCTAGGTGGACATCCAGCATGGGGAAAGAACAAGGTATCCTGCACCTAGCAGCTCCCCTTCAAGGACTTGGCAAGGGCCGCACTGAATTTCATCCGGCCCCACACCTCAGGGACAGATCTTGCTGTGCCCTTCTACTGGTCTGCTGTCCACACCTACCCTGGCTCAGCCCTGCTCCTCCCTGGCTACCCACGGCCTGCATGGGCTCCCCTCACCAGGCTGTCATTTCAGCCTGGAAGGGCCTGGGAGTTCTGGGCTGCCCCTGGACCAGCTCTGTAAGTTTGTACCCATGGCCATACTAGGCCTAATAAAGATGGTCTCATTGCTGCTTGTGTGGGGTGTGGCCTGAGGTGTGATCCAGGTTTGCTTGCTGCCTGCAGCAGGGGACATGTACCCAGAAGATGATGGCTGGACTCTCAGGGCTGCCTGCCCAGTCATGTCCACAGTACGCGCCTCAGGATGCTGGCCCATGCCAGCAGGCAGCACACTCCAGGCCCCTGCTCCAGGGTCCCTTGCAAGCCTTGTCTCCCGGATCCTTGACCACTCTGGGGACACTGTCGCCGGGGTGGGGTCCACCTGCTTCTCAGGAACCTGGGGGCTGGAGGGTTTGCTCTCAGGCTCAGGCCTTACACTGAGTGCTCTGTGCTCAACCCACCAGCATGGGGTGGGAGCCGGTGGTTTTATCATCGTCCTCTCTTACAGACGAGGTCATTAGGGCTCTCCAGGGAAGGAACTTGGTCAAAGATACACAGCTTGTCCAGACTGAGGGCAAACCACCATGGGGAGAAGTGAGACATCCCCCCCCCCAGAAGATAATGGGACCACGTAGATTGCCCAAGAGTAAGGTGACCAGATTTTAACATTGGTAAAGCGGGACACCATTGATAAAACTCATATCCTGGCGAAATAGCCACATGGCAGCCAAAAACCGTATACCCTAGCTTGTCGTGCATTCTTTCCAAAAATTGGGACTTTTAAAAAACGCCGCAGGACGTGGGAAAAATTAAAAATCGGGGACTATCCCGCCAAAAGCGGGATGTCTGGTCACCTTACCCAAGAGGTTGTGATGTGTCACTAAAAATAATTAAAACTGCCATCAAGTCAACGTCGACCCATGGTGAGTGAGCCTGTAGTGCGAAGAACTGCCTTGTGGGTTTCCAAGGCTGTAAATCTGTAAGCTTATTTCTCTCCTGTGGAGCAGCTAGTGGTTTTGAATGGCTGACCTGGTGGTTAGCAGCCTAACACACAACCTGCTTCACCTGCCCTCTCTCCCGACCTCTGACAGAAATATCATAAATAAGGTGACTTTTACACGTCTCCTCTCAGGTCAGGGAGGCTAGAAGTCAAAGTTCAGGGTGCCAGTTCCAGGGACAGGGTCTCTCTCTGTGAGCTCTGAAAAAAGGGTCTTATCTCACCTGAGTGGGGTTCATGTGCCATGTCTTTCCCCATCTCCACTTTTTCCCCCCATCTCTTCTCAAGAGACTGATTCAAAATAGGCTGTACACTCATACCTACAGACAAACCAAGGACCAAAGTGCCAACTCTGGCTCCATCTTCTGATCTCTTCCGCCTCTTCTGATCTTCAGCACCCCAATGGCACAGTTGCAGGTGTCCTCAAGCTACAGTGGGCCACATATGGCCCGCGGAGGACATTTATACAGTCCGCCAGGTGTTTTTGACCCATGTTTTTTACTTCAAAATAAGATAGGCGCAGTGTGCATAGGAATTTGTTCATAGTTTTGTTTTTTTTTTAACTATAGTACGGCCCTTCAACGGGTCTGAGGGACAGTGAACTGGCCCCGTTTAAAAAGTTAAAGGACCCCTGGCACAGTGGGTTATAGGTTGGGCTGCCACCTAGAAGGTCAGCAAGCTGAACCCACCAGGTGCCCCTAGGTGGAAAAGATGAGGCTGTGTGAAGATTTCCACAAAGATCTACAGGTTTAGCAAGCCTAAGAAGTAATTCTGCTCTGTTCTACAGGGTCAGTATGAGTCAGAATTGACTTGAGGGCAGTGACGTCCTTGGGTAAGGTTTAGAAATCTGATTTTGAAGAAGTCCTAGGGCTAGGTGTACTTGCTTATAGTCACAGGGTCCCTGAGAGGCACCAAGTAAAAGGGCAGCAGCTCCTGTGAAGATTGACAGCCTCGGAAACCCCATATAAGGCTGTTGAGAGTCCAGTCTGCGAAGACCGTGGGTTTTCTTGGATCTGGGTGGTGCCAATATCTTGACTCCGCTTCTAAATGGCCAGCAGCTCCTTAGGATAAAGACCTGGCGATCGGCTCGTGTGTAAAACAGCCCAGGAAATATATGCCATCACTAGGGTCACCATGAAACTGGTCACCTACCAAGGAGCTCGCTGCCCTGTCTGGAGCTGCTGACGTCAGGAGAGAAAGCGCAGCAAAGCTGCCTAGTTACACCTGCCACCTGCCACAGGTGGGTCGTGCAGCGACGGGGTGAAGACCTCCCACTCCTCCCTACCTGTCACCGGCGGGTTTTCCACCCGGGCGCCCCGAGCCCTAACCCCTGGGATGACACCTGAAAGCTAGGGTCTACGTCCCCTGCCACAGCCCCAATATCTGTCGGAGATCTTTCCAGATCATCCCTCACATCACGTCGGGGCCAGGCTTCGGCCACGAGAGGGGGCCCGACTCTCGCGAGAGCCCGCCTGGCGCCCGCATCTTCTGACGCCGCTGGTGACGTCAGAAGCGTTGGGCGCCACAGCGCGCAGACGCGACACGCCACCCTCGAGCCAGCCGGCAGCAAGTGCGTAGGGTCGCTGCAGCTCGCTCTGTTGCTGTCGCTTCTCCTTGGCTCCAGCTGTCAACAGCATTTGGGTCCCATGTCGCGCCGGGCCCTCCGGAGGCTGAGGGGAAAACAGCGCGGCCAGGAGCCCCTTGGCCCCGGAGCCCTGCAGTTTGTCCTCCGTGAAGATGATGACGCAGAAGAAGAGGGGCCAAAACAGGAACCGGCGGGCCGCCGCCCCCGGGGCGGGGGGAAGGAGGACGTCCGCGTCAACAACCGCTTCGAGCTGGTACCGAACCCGCTACCTGGAACCCGGGCGGCGGGTGGGGGCGGGGCCTGCGCGGCCGTGGTCCTGACGTCACTGGGTGGGGGCGCTCCCGTCTAGGCTGCAGTGGGGGCAAGGCAGGCCCCCATTCAGGCTCGCCGCGTTGTCCAGCGCTTTCCTGGATTGGCGGGGGGGGGGGAGCGGCGCGGGGGGAGGGGGGGAGGGGGCGTCTGCAGGGCCGAGGTTTGGGATGCAGTGTAGGCGGGGCCTACAGCGACGTCCAGTCTTCCTGGGTTTCGGGGGCATCCGGGGGTCGGGGTACGGGGGGAGTCTGCGGGCCACAGTCAGGGCTGCAGTCGAGGTCGAGCGGGCTCCTGCGCAGGCGGACCGGGATGCCCAGAGCTTACCTGGGCTTGAGAGTGAGGGTGGTCTGCCGGCCGAAGTCTGGCTTGCAGTAGGGGCAGCCCCCGTGCAGGCTGACAGCAATGGCCAGAGCTTGCACGGGCTTGAAGTGGGGGTGGTTTGCGAGCCCCGTCTGGGCTGCAGCGGGGGCGGGGCGGGCCAAGCTGGGTCACGTCCGCAATGCGGCAGTAGGCGGGGGCAACGGTGTTAGGACTGTAGTGAAGGTGTGGGGGGGAGCTGTGAGGTGAGGTGAGGGGCGGGGCGAGATTGGGTCTGGGCCCCCGCTGTGCCGCAGTGGGCGTGGCGAAAGTGAGTGCGGACAGCAGTGGGTGGGTGGTTTATGGCGTCGGGCGTGGCCAGCCGAGCAGTGACGTCAGTAATCTGGCTCGAGGAGAATGGGCTGGGGGCCCTCAAAGCGGGCATGAGGGGCTTTCCCAGGTCCCCTCGTTTGTGCCCGTATCTGTGTTTTCCTTTCATCCTCACCAAACAGCCACTCCTCTCCAGTGACGTCCAAGGCTAGCTCAGCACTGAGCCCCCACAGCAGCGCCGTGGACGTGACTAGCTGGACTTCTGCGCGGTGGGCAATGATCAGTGGTCACTGGAGGGCAAGGAGCCTATACGGTGGGGAGGGAGTGTGGGCTCCACCCACTTTGATTCTCACGCTTAAGCACATAATCTCATTAACCCTTTTTATTGTGGGATATTTCAGACACAGAAAGGAGGGTGTCCTAGGGAGCATCCCCATCTCCTTTACACTGTGTCCACTCTGAACTCCAAGTAACCTTAAATTTGCTGGTAACTGGTATTAAATTAAAATGGCGAGGAGCGGGGTGAGGGGTGAGGGGCCAGCCCCTACCCGCTGTTGCTACTACTACTACTACTACCACCCACGGGTTCAGTAATGCACAATTGTACGGTTGAGATATATAAGTATTAAAGTCATCGAGAGCATGAGAGAGAATACAATAGTGCAGTCAGATACATTACATGGTAGCATTGCTCATCTAAGCCCAGCTTGGTGGTCCACGTGGAGAGGGGGAAGGGAAGGAGGGCAAGGGAACAAGGGAGAGGGGGAAGAGAGGGGAGTGACCAGGGAGTGAGCAGCAAGGAGGGATCAGAGAGAGTCAGAGAGCTCTATATTGATGACCCATGCCTATATACCTTTTGGGGGCATGCCAGCCCACTAATTACAGGTAGAGACATGCGTCACAGGAAGGGGTTGCACTATAGGTTACACAGCAATTAGGGGGTGGTCTCTGAGTCTCCATAGGAACCATTATCAGTAGGGTGAAAACTCCTCCTACAGGAGCCTGTCCATTGTCCCCAGCGGCAGAGAGCAGGCCCACCCCTGTGGTGGGATGAGACAGCAGTCTGGCAACTGATTGCCCTCAGGGGAGGGAATGTCTGCGCATCTGACCTCCCCCCACAGGTAACGGTTCTGATTTCTCTTGGACTGCTCACCTCTTCAAGTTTGCTTATGCTGAAGGTGGCCATTTTCATGGACCTTATCAGATGGTAAAGCAAAAAAAAAAAAATCTCTGCCAGTCCATCCTTTCAGGTGTGAGGGTAGAAATGTCCAAAGGGGTTCCTGGCTGATCACCAAGCCTATCCTCAGCAGCAGAGTGACCACTGTGTATGGACTTCATAAAGTTCTGGAGACAATCCCAGTATCTGCTTATTCCAGTCTTTTACAAAGTTACCAAGACTCATTTAGCTACTCACCATCCAGCTCCCGTTCCAGCCCTTCCCACCCCATCCATCCAGCCATCAACCTGTGTCTGTCTGCACACATTTATCAATAAGTCCTCAGCCCTCCCTAACACATGTTTAAAATCAGGCTCAAAGGAACAAGCTGGTACAGAAGTAGATTACCTGCCTCCCAACCAAGTCCAACGTTCTCCTGAGGTGGGGGGCAAAACAACACAGCATTGTTCAATGTCGTCATTGAACAACATAGCATTTCAGGATGCCTGCCACACCCTAAGAAATCAGCAGATTTGCCAAAAAAGGGGTGTGTGTGTGATGCATAACCAGGAGAAAATTAATCAGGCGAAATAGAACCAGAAATTACAGAAACAGTGACATTCAATGAAAATTAAAGCCATCTTAAAATAAATTCTGTTTTTTTTTTTAAGTTCAGTCTTAACATTACAAACAATACGAGGACTGAATCACAATGAGGAAAAAAACTAGAAAAAGAGTTGATTCTAGAACTGGAAAATACAATATCAGAAATAAGTAATTCACATGATGGTCTTAATAGACACTGGAGAAAAAAAGATCAGTGATTTTTAAGTTATGGAAGAGACTTCAAATATCCAGAAAGGAAACAAAAGCTGGAAAAACAAAAAGAACCCACATGTGTCAGTAACCCATGAGGAATGCTAATCAGTCTGATGTATCTGTAACTGGAGGACCAGAACAAGAGAAGGGAGAAATACTTAATAACCCAAACTCACTGCCATTGGAGTCGATGGTGACTCATAGCACCCGCTGTGGGTTTCCAAGACATAACTGTTGATGGGCATAGAAAATCCAGTCAGTCTGCTGAGAAGCTGCTGGTGGGTTCAACCTGCTGACCATGCGAATCACAGCCCAATGAGTAACCACTATACCACCCGGGCTCCTGAAGTGAGTAAAGGGGGCATAAAAATTACTCTCCATCAGAGAGCATTGTAAAGTCATTTGTGGGCAGGTAGATGTTAGGTCAGGGGTTGGCAAGCTTTTAAGACGGGAGAGCCAATCCTGCCCTTCACAACAATTTAAAAATTACTTGAAGGCCATAAATTCTTAAACAATCCAAATCACCATTATCTGAATAATAGTCTTTAAATGAAGCTGATAGTTTCATTTTCAGTTTTACATCAGAGCCACATGTACATACCAAAAGGACCACTGGAGAGCCACAGTTTGCTGATCCCATGGTTGGTTTGACGTTTTAAAGTTGTTTCAGTTTTTAATATTTTGTGCTTCCTTTTTGATAGAGGTTTTTCTGTTTGGTCTAGTCATTGTTGATGTTTCTGTTTTTCTGCTTTCTGTTTGTGTTATGTATGACTTCCTGTATGTAATTCAGCATCCGGAGACCTATAGAGACAGTAAGTGGGTTGATACCTGGAGATCTATAGAGACAGTAAGTGGG